TTCTAAATGATTGTTTCAATATAATTGGAGAGTCGAGTCATTTAAATATGTTGGTATATATGTGGATCGTAAGCTACTGTTTCACGAACATTATGAATACATTATTTCAAAAACATCGAAAAAGATAAATTACTTCTATAGAGTTTCCCATAATCTTAGTATATATTCCAAAAAAATTGTGTACAACAGTATAATTCTTCCCCATTTTTTATATTGTTCAACCATCTTGTTTATAGCAAATAAAAACATATTTTCAAACATTCTACAAAATAAAGCTATGAGAATCATTTTAAATAAAAACAAAGATACTAGGATTAAGTCTATGTTAGAAGAACTGCAGTGGTTGGATGTGAAAAATTTCATATATTATTTAGTTCTCGTTTTCGGCTCAATTCAATTTTTATCAAAAAGATAAAAGTCATTATTTTCATGTATAAAATAACTAAATCATTTCACCATAAACGACACTTATATGAATCTCCTCCTTGCCATGGTGAAGGTCAGATTTAGGTGAGATTTTGAAAAAGTACATAGTAAGTTTTATAAAGTAATTCGGTATTCAACTGTCTTGCTTATAGGTTTTTTGAATCCGAATCTGAGATCAGCTTGTCCGTAACGAGGCATTTTAAGAGCATCTAGAGGTCACTCGAAGGTCAGATTGAGTAAGTGCCGGAAGTCAAGTCTACTTTTTTACAGATATTGAAAATTCAATTGAACCACAACAACTTTCTGAAGATTCTGATGTTGATGAGGTTCCAGAGTTTTTCCAAATTATGGTAAAGCTATTACCCTGGAGATGCAGTCTCTAGAGCATCTTTCTACAGGGTGTTTCAGTTTATTGTTGCATAACTTTAAGATTCGATAGAACTTTTAAAATTAATGCATAAAGTCTATATAAACACGGGTCGAAAAATGCGTGGCTTCCGAAATACAGGGTGTTTAAATTTACTTTTTAAAATAGTTTTTTTTAAATATTTCGAACAATATTTGATGTATAATAGTGAAAATTGGTATACAAGGGTTTTTTGGTACGAGAAAACGAACCATGGGCCTAGTTTTAATGTAGCCGCTAGAGGGCGCTCTCTACTGTACCTGTAGTGTATTAAAATTACCGAAAAAAATTTCTTAGTACAATTTTTGCTTTTTGAATAAAAAAACTGATTCTTTGCACTTTTCTGCATAAAAAAGCACTCTTGTGAGTTTTCGTTATAGTTAGCCGTTTTTGAGATATTTCGATTTTTAAGGTTCGATGCATTTAATTATTTATGCGAAAATAATATATTTTTTTACATTTTAGATTTGGGCATTACAAGTAATTAAGATGATCGTTTAGATTGTGTTTTTAAACACAGCAATAATTCCTAACTCCAAACAAACACAAAAAACAATATTGATTTGTTTAATTCTCCAATATTATTTTTAACAAATTAAATTAATTATTTACAACTGAAATGCTATTGGATAGTTAGTATTTCGCATTTTTCGACCCATGTTTATATAGACTTTATGCATTCATTTTAAAAGTTCTAATCGAATCTTAAAGTTATGCAACAATAAACTGAAACACCCTGTATATTAGAAATACGATTTGAAGAAAAAAAATGACAATATATGGATTTTTGCATCGAATAAACCAGATGGAAAAACAGGAAGCAAAAAGCTGTAAAAAATGGAAATTTAAATTACAAGGAATTGTTGAACAGATGAAAAGTCATTTCAGTTATTTAAATCAAGATTAAAATTGAAAAATCAATCCTGTCTAAAAGTCTACAGTATCTTGAAAGTTTCAGTATCAATTAATTTTTTCTTACCATCTCGGCCATGACACAACCCAAACTCCATATATCGATCCCAGTACAATACATCCTAGCTCCCAATAATAGCTCTGGCGCCCTATACCATACTGTTACCACTTCGTGGGTATAAGTACGGGTAGGTAGTGAAAAAGACCTTGACAGTCCAAAATCTGCAAGTTTAATGTGGCCTTCTTTATCGACTAGAAGGTTCTGAGGTTTCAAATCGCGATGGAGAATTCTGTGTGAATGCAGGTACGCTAGCGCCTCTATCAATTGCTTCATGTAGCTCTGAAAATATATGACAATAGCATTCAGCAGGTTGATCCTAGAGCTGCCTAAGATACTAGCTCATAGCTGATGAATGATCTGCTAAATAAACTAACAATAACTAAAAATGAACTCAACGTGCTGGATACCTCTGAGATGCGAATAAATACAACCAATGATTTAGATATCAGAAAATTTCCACAAAAATACACAGTGAGGGGCATTTTTCCACAACAGCATACTCAAAATATTTTATGCAAAAATGAGCATCAGTTTTGGATATTCATATAAACCTACCCTTATAAGTTCAGCTTCTAGTGGTGATCTAGTACCATCCAAGTACCTCTTGAGATCAAGATCTAAGTATTCAAAAACTAAATACAATTTATCAGTGGTTTGCATCACATCTAGCAATTCCACTATCGACGAGTGTCTAAGTCCTTTAAGAAGGCTAATTTCACGAATTGCTGTGGGTGGTACACCTTCTGCCTCCCCATCATCTCTGTAGAACCTGTATAAAAAATTGACTGATACCTAAATACATACAAAAAGTATTTTAGAATCATATAAATACAAGAATTGTGGTCTGATTCATCATCTATCAGAGCAGTATGTGAGGCCTATGCTTTTGCTTCAAGCCTGTGCTTTCCTCCTAGAGGCACATGCTCCCTAACTCATCAAATACATGACTTTTATGGAAACCTGAAGCCCCCAGCTATTTTTTTCTGCACTGCCTGTTGATACGTGAATGATAAAGAGGATATAAAATAGCATTATAAAAAAATGTTACTTACAGTTAGTAGCGATGATGCTGCATAAGATTCTAAGCTGAATCATGTGGTGCTACGATATAGTACAAAACGTAAACACACACAGATTCAGCTGGGCATCTTACAAATTAATCGGTTAGATGTTCGCATCAGCGTTGAAATGATCTGTGATAAAGCATGCAAATAAAATAATGTAAAATTAAAACTCAATTCCAATTTACGTAATATTGATGGTTCAGCCTGTTCAAGCAAAGTATTCCTGGAAAACGAGCGTGCAACATGCAAAATATTTTTCGACAGCGGACGCCAAATAGGCACAAAGCTTACTTTTCCAATTTAATCCTCTTGAGAGCCACATTCTTGCCAGTCAGCTTGTTCTTGGCTTTGTAGACCACGCCGTAAGTGCCTTCGCCAGCTTTTGCTAACTTTATAAAACGGTCTAGTTTGTCCATTTTCATTCAGATTTCGGTCAAAACCACCTCCAAGACACTCCGTTTATTTAGCGGGAAAAAAGTGGCTTTCTTCCAGGAGCCCATTTTTGTTTATGCTGATTCTGCGCATGTGTCGGCGAGAAAGGCGGTCAATATTTCATTCGTTGCCAATCCTGCGAAATGAAATGTTACTAAGATTCTAACCGAAATGTAGTAACATTTTTTTTGTTAACACTGGCAACCCCTTTCTCATCGCTAATTATGACAAATATCCGTATCTACTAATTTCATCTCCAATGAGTTTTTGGCCCGAGTAAAGATAACATGGCCATGCAAGACAACTATTGAAATATACTCTACTAGTCTATCCGCAGCTAAATTTTTCTGGAAATCGTTGCATACCGCTAGAAAATCCGAATTAAGATTGGAAAACTGCCGCTTTGACGTACTAAATGACGCCGTCGTTACCTCGGGATAGACATACGATCTTGTCATTTTTGTCACCTAGATTGCGGCGTTGCCAGCTCATCGGACAATTTTGCAACCTTTGCTATTTAGCTAGAATGTTGTTTCTACTTCCTTGTGTTACCCACCCGCCATATAGTACGGTCATTATATTATACGGTATAAATAATAATGGAATCTGTATAAATTATACATTTGGGCAATGTGCAATAACCTAAAATGCTCTAATACTTCGACATAGATGGAATGAATGATGAATGAATCTAGAAAATCGCACTGTTTCGATACTGTCATAGCAAAAGTTCACATAATGTGACGGCGCTATGAAGACCTGAACACCCCCCCTCCCGAGCCCCGCACGCAGGTGAATTCATCGCGATGCAGCAGAGCGGTACTCGAGAACATATTCTTCGGAAGAAAAGGATTAAGTTTTGTAGCACATTTTTTAAATAAAGAAGTAAAGTGAAAAAAGTGAAATGAAATATGTATTTAGGTGAATGATCTTGAAGTGCGTGTTTCTGGAAGAAGGCTCCTCAACATAGCAAATTAGGTAAGTAACTTTACATCTTTGGCATCGCTACCATCAATACGTATATTTAACTACTTTTAACGTAACTTCAACAACTTGATTCAGTCATCTCTTCCAGACTTGCAAGAGGAGATCTTTTAAAATTTTCAAATTCGGCTCTGTCCTCATGCCTCCGGTTCTCGATTTTATAGCCGTTTTATGACAATCAGAAAAAATGTAAACGAATACAATATCGTTGTCGTCTACTATATTTTTCTATGTTGGTAGTTCTATGAAAATGAAATTACAATATCAGGTGCAAAAACTTAGGATGTCAACCTTAACACACAAGTAGATGAGTATATGCAAGGCTCACCTACTTTGCTGCACATATATCCTGTTTTCCTCAGAAGCGTTGGAAGTAGACCTAATTTCCACGTTGGAGACACTGTGAGTGCTGTACCTCGCTGCGGCGATACCGTACGGCCGGGTAGTGAAGCTACGCCCCTTTCCAGCTCCCACTCCGCGCGTCTGCTACTGGTCCACGTAAACATCGAGTGGCTTCGGGAGCAGACGCGCTGCGGTACGGACAGGTCGTACAGTCACGCCCCTTTCTAGCTCCCACTCCGCGGGTCTGCTCCCGGTCAACGTAAACATCGAGTCGCTTCGTGATACTGCCAGATAAGAAAACGCACACGCGCGGAGTGGGAGAGGGGAAAGCGGCTGTACTACCCGGCCGTACTGTATCGCCGCAGCGAGGTGCATCACTCACTTCAGTCTCTCGGCAACCGTCGTCGCAGCGGAATGTCCACGCGTTCACAGCTACGTGTGAGCTCTATTCGGTTAAACTATTTTTTTTAGTAGTGGTATACACTACAGGGTTCTCGATTGTCTCTCAGTGGTGTTTTAGTGTTGTGCCGTGGGTGTTAAGTGTTTCCAACGTGGAAATTAGGTCTACTTCCAACTCTTCTGAGGCAAACGGGATATCTGTGTAGCAAACTAGGTGAGCCTTGCATACTCGTCTACTTGTGTGTTAGGGTTGACATCCTATGTGTTTTTTTAAATAAATTGCATACATTGAGAGATTAGTAATATACTAAGTTATAAACAAACGTGTTTTTTTCTCTATTTTTTCATTTTATTTAAGTAGGCGTTGCAAACAAATGCTTGATGTAAGATTGTGTGATTGATCAATTTTGAATCTATACAATTGGTAGTGTCAAGTTGAATCATTGACAATTGTCGAAAAAATGATCAAAATAAAAAATACAAAACTTTCAAATACGTGAATTCAGGAACTTCACTTCTTAGGAAACTCGGCCAAATCGAGCCATGCTAATCGACCGCAATCTGAAATATGTTGGCAACCCTGTTACATCAGTGTCTCCACCAAGAAAAATTAAATCACTAAAGTATATCAGAGGTGACTAATAAAAGTATAGGATAATTTGCAACGCGGATTGAGTCATATCGAAAAAATAGCGATGTAGGGAATAGGAGCAAACAAATTTTATAACGACCACAAAGGATCTGCAGAAGATTCAAAAATACATTTTTTCTCTCACACAGCCGTCTTTTGGCTTTGTATTCACCATTTGTTTTTTAGATATTGGCGACATTGACAGCGGTGTTGCCGGATCTACCGATTTTTCGGTTTTCTATCGAAATACAGAAATTTTCATATTCCAGGATTCGAATAATTCACATATTTCCAACTTTTTTGCCGGAAAAGTGCTGAAACCAAAAATGAATTCTATGAAGTAGACTATTTAATTTTATTTCCCATAAGCGTACGTACATAAGCAGTGGGGCACACGAGGAAAGGTGACTATCTACCGATTCCATCTTTTTCGGTATGGCAACACTGATTCAGTAATTGACAGTGTAAATTTGGCCTCCAATTTGAAAAATCTAGACTACCTTACAAACTCATTTTAATGAATTATTTAAAAATTTCGGTTTTTAACGCGTTTTTCATCAATCGTTGCGTACCAAATTCTAAATAAAACATTTTCAATTCAATCGATAATCTGTACCCCACCAATCTCATCAGACGTAGCGCCCTCTATTTCCGTAACCGTTCCTTTCGCGTACTTTTGCTTGCGTTGTGTTGTGATTCGGATGGGTGGTGTTCGCGTTATTCTATCAAAACACTAAGAAAATAACCCGTTAATATAAGTTATTAATTCACCCAGTTGTTCAAAAACACCACTTTTATTCAGGGTGTCGTTTCACATAAGGTAAGAACTGTAGATTTGCTGTATTTACATTCGTATTTCTAAAATTTGTTCGGCTTCGGGAGCCGCCATGATGGCGTCGGTTCCGAATCAGAAAAAAGATTCGTTGATAACGCGTAAAGTTCGATAGATTCATCGGTTATTAACCGTGATTTTTGCTACTCGACCTAATATTTATCGATAGATGCTAACTGTATTTTTGAGAAATTGGCTTTCCATGATGTCTGGAATATTTTGCTAGTTCCGACATTTTTTTTTTGGTATTGTGCTTCGCTACGCTCATTTTTTGCGTTTTGATATTTGTTTTCATAAATAACAGCAGTTTAAATCGCTCATCGATTATTTTTCTAATAACGTTGCGGCAAACATCCATTTTTTTTACGATCAGAGTAATTAGTTGTGCACAGCGTTGCCGTTGTGAATAATTTTTACGGCTAGTTGAGGATTTTTGATAGCTTGTGTTCTGGACCAAGGATTGTTTTATCGAATTTTTATTACTGCGACAAAACAAAAAAATGTTGCAACATTGTGGTGCGTGAAGAAAGATTGGAGTTTAGATTTTCTGATTTCGGCTTGATTCTGGTTTTATAGATGTTTTATTACAAGGTGAAACGTTTGAAATGTTGAAACACTTTGTGGGGTTTCAAGAAACGCTTGTGATATTAATGATCTAAATTCGCAATTTTTATAGTTTTACCTGAAATGATCTTGTTTGGACTAAAAAATGCTACTTTTGGGCCATAGTGCACAGTGGTATGACATTGTTGACACTTAGATATTCGTGTTTAAACGCGTAACGGCGATCTTTTTATTCTTGAATTTCCTCCCATCTATGTGATTTTCAAGATATCATTACATCAAAAATTTACATTGAAAACGTTTGTATCTACCACATAATAGCGTTATTAGGGTGTGTTTATTTAACATTTTACGTTAAAAATGATGTCTGCTAAGCTCCTCAAAATGCTGACTGCTGTCTTCAAAACGTGAAGGCAACTATTAAAAATGAATATCTACGAATTTCGGGGTCATGCGTACCTTGATCGATTTTTCATACACCACAATCTTTTACCATTTTTTTTCTCGTAATTATAAAAATTCGATAAAACACTCCTTTTACCTGATAAATATCATTTTGGTTAAAAACACATCTAAATTGTATCTTAAGGCTCTGATGTTTCCATTTTGTTAACAAAAAACATTTGATTCTTAATAATTCACAAAGACCAGCTAGAAAATTCATCTCCATTTTCGTGGATAATGTTTGAAGTCGGTTTGGCAACATTGTAGCGTGCGTGTACAGCTCCGGCAAAATTTCTCGTACCCCACGCTACCATTTAACTGTTAAATAACTACGTTTTATCGACGTTTCTGGAAGTTTTCCAACGTTGTTTCTATCGATACGATGAAATGCGGTATGCGGCCAAGTAAACAGAGTAATCTTATGCTGAATAATTTGATATTGGTAATGGATGGATTTATATTTCAGTGATTTTTTTCATTTAACGTGACAATAAGCGATGACGCATCAACTATACAATATAGCTCAATTCTCCCTTTTCGCACTGTTTTTTGAAGAAATTCTTGGAATTCATTTTCCGTTATGAGAGTCCTTGAAAACTGGAAATACTGCAGATGAGACGATGACGTTCATGTACAGCCCGGCAAATGTTCTCGTGCTCTACGCTAAAGCAATGCTGTCACGATACGTTTTGTACATAGATTAACAAATTTGTTTAGATAAAAATGTTACTGAATTTCGATCACAATTCTCAACAACTAGAATCATGTATAGAGTTCAACTTGTATTTTGATCTTGACCATTTAAAAGTGGGCTCTACTTTTTTTAATCAAACTGTCTTTAACCCTCACAACAAGCCTAATGAAATATTTTGCTTTCAAGACGAAGCGATATCGAGGTTAAACGTTGAATTTTAAAATGATTTATGACTTAACAATAGCTGCTTTACACAAATAAATCTGTGTGAGAAAAATTGAGGAATTGCTTAAAAGTCAA